GCAAGCCACTCCCATCCAGTCACATGGGCGGCAAGCCACTCCCACAAAGGAGGCCACACCCACAGAGTAGGTTCGAACAATTTTTGAAACCCACCTCTGATCCACTGCTTCTTGTCCTGCCTTCAGGTGCTTTGGAAAATAGCTTGATCTCTTTCTTTGTGAAATCTCCTCAAATATTGGAAGACTGTTATCATGTCACCTTTAGTCCTTCTTTTCACTAGACTAGATATACCCAATTCCTCTGGCTCTTCCTCACGTTTTAGCTTCCAGTCCCATCTTTGATGTTCTCCTCTACCCTCTTTCTAGAGTCTGCAGATTTATTATTTTCATTGCAAAGCCTATAATCTTGACATAACTTTCTGGAGTAGTCTGGGATCATTTGCTATTATTTTACTCCAAGGATACCCAAATACTGCATGCAGTTTTGCTCACCATATTACAGTATAAGAAAAGAAGTTGAGTTTCTGGAATAGTGCAGAAAAGAGCAGCAAAGATGATTAGGGGGCTGGAGGCTAAAACATATGAAGAATAGTTGCAGGAACTGGGCAGGTCTGGTGTAGTGGTGACATGGTAGCAGCATTCCAATATTTGAAGGGCTGCCACAAAGAGGAAGAGGTCAATCTATTTACAGATTGTAAATTTACAGGCTATTTGTAAAAATCTATTTACCGGCAGGACAAGAAGCAAATTAACTAAGGAGAGAAGCAGCCTAGAATTAAGGAGAAATTTCTGGATAGTGAGAACAATTAACCAGTGGAACAGCTTGCCTTTCAGAAGTTCTGGGCGCTCCACCATTGGAGGCTTTTAAAACAAGATTGGACAGACATTTTGAATGGTGTAGGGTCTCCTACTTGTGCTGGGGGTTGGACCCAAAGACCTCCAAGATTCCTTCCACTTCCACTTGCCTGGACTAGTCCCTCCGGTGCAGCAGGCAATGGGATGTGCGCGTATGGCTGGCGTGAAGAACAGGGCAGTGATGGCAGCGGTATTTTTGGGTGCGTTCAAGACCTGCAGTAGTTTCAGCAGCCTCCAGCCAGCTGCCAGTGCCAGGAAGCCGCTGGCAAAGAGGTGGCGGCTGGGAGGCTTCTCACAGTCGCACAGAAAAAGAGAGTTTGCCTTCCGAAGTCCGGACCCACCCCTGTGGAAGGAAGGTAAGCCCGAAGAAAGAGGCCATCATGGGGGAGGAAGTGTGGCTAGGGTTGGGGCCTCTGAAGTAGGGGAAATGGAACTGGCGAAGGGAGAGCGGGTGGCCAGGAGGGGGCCTTTGACAGATTAGGCCAGGCCTGGGCAGAAAATAGGCAGATAGGTAGAAATTCTATTTTTTTTCCTACCGAGTTCTGTGGGCATGGCTTGGTGGTGGTGGTCATGTGACTGAGTGGATGTGGCCGTGAGTGACATTGAGTTGGCCACACCTACTCAGTCACATGACCCCACCACCACTAAGCCACGCCCACAGAACTGGTAGGAAATTTTTTTGAATACCACTACTGCCCAGAAAGGTGAAATTGAAGCTTGTAGGCATCGGCTGGAAGAGATCCAGGTCATTTCCTGAAGATGAATTAATTCTGAATTAGTAAGTATGTAATTAGGTTCCTGTTCTAATTGCTTTTTCAGAGATCAGTTTGCATGGGTGGGAATGATGAGAAGACACTTAAATGAATGTTAGTTCCTTTTCACAGGGATAATAATTACTTATATTCCTCTTTTTTTCCTTATTACTTAAGAAAAGTGGAGCAATCGATAAGCAATTTTTTAATTTCCCCCATCTCAGATTTCTCCCCTGGCTTGGTATTTTCCTTTTGGTTCTCCTATTTCTTTGTGCAGAGGCTTCTTACCAAGACAAGTCTGTCCATCTGGCCCCATAATTGTCCCCAAGGAACAAACGCAATCTCCAGTGTCCAGACAGGAACCTCGACAATCCACCACATCGCAAATGTCATAGAAATCTGCAGAACGATAAAGAAAAGTTATTAGAAAAGCAGATTAAAGGTAAAGGTTCCCCTTGCACATATGTGCTCGTTGTTACTGACTCTAGAGGGTGGTGCTCAACTCCATTTCAAAGCCGAAGAGCCAGTGTTCTCTAAAGATGTCTCTGTGGCCATGCGCCCAGCATGACTAAATGCCGAAGGCGCACGGAACACTGTTACCTTCCCACCAAAGGTGGTTCCTATTTTTCTACTTGCATTTGCTTTCGAACTGCTAAGTTGGCAGAAGCTGGGACAAGTAGCGGGAGCTCACTCTGTTACTTGGCACTAGGGATTCGAACCGCCGAACTGCTGACCTTTCTGCATCCCTAGTAACTGATTGGGTGTACTTAATGAAATTAGTTGGGCTTAAGCCAAGAGCTAGTCACTCTGTCTCAGCCTAACTCACACCGAAGGGTTCTTTTTATGGGGGAAACAGGAGGAGGATCTCCCTGGTCATTGATTAAAATTTGGGTGCATGAAAACTGATATGTAATCGTGACAGTTGTCACATTCTGTGGTCATATGATCATTTGCAACCTTCCCAGGCCGCTTCCAACAAGCAAATAGGGAACGACCACACAATTCGTTTAACAACTGCAAAAATTAACAGCCATGGCAAAAAATATCGGATTCACTTAACAACCATCTTGGTAAGCGATAGAAATTCTAGTCCCAATTCTGGTCATACATTGAGGACTACATATATGCATTAAGTCTTATCTCATGTAACAACACAGTAATGATTTTGCATTGCTATGCCATTCTAGTTCATGATGAGTTCTACTGCAAATAATAGCTTTAAAATTCAAATCTGTTTTATCTGCCAGCTAAGACAATTCCTCAAATTCAGAATGATGTATGTTCTCTCTCTCTCTCTCTCTCTCTCTCACACACACACAGACACAGACACAAACACACACACAGAGAGAGAGAGAGAGAGAGAGAGAGAGTAGAAAATAGCAACAAATAGTAAAACTAACACTAGACAAATCTTGAAAGTAGTAGCTCAAAGGCTTTAAAAAGTAGATTGTCTTTCTAAATGCCAGCAGAGAAGGAATTGTTCTGATCTCACAGACTAATTTATCAAAAAGGCCTGCTGGGTATTATCTACGAATGCTTAGAACCACTAGTTCTCATTTGAAAAGCTTGAAAAGTATCAAAACTATCTTCTGTGTAGGAAAATGGGTGGAAATATTTTTGGACTGCAGTAGAAGCCTATTAGGAACTTTTGAGATCTTGTTGTAAATGTACTCACAAAATGGCTCTTAAGAGAGAATTGTATATTCATCAAATATTTATCATGGGTAGGCGTGGTACCAGTCATAAAAATATATTTACCAAAAGTGAAGCTAGCCATCAGATTCTTTTCTTCCAATCCATTGGGACCTTTACGGGACTCAAATAAAATGCCTGAAAACAAGTATGAAGGTAGAATCCTGCGCTTTGACTTACAACACACCAATTTCTATTTAGAACATAGAA